GAGGATTCGAACCCGGTACCCTAGGTATTGTGCGCGAACGCCTAACCTCTGGACCACTGGGTGATTTAATATCTCTACAAGTTTTAATTTTAATATCGTCAATAATCATATTTAACAATCTTAGATTAATTTAAAGAGAACTACTGTATGAGTAGTATACTCGGTTTTTTGAAGATACCGATGAACATTTCATTTATGATTTAAATTTTCTAATAATACTAACCGAATATTTTGAATTCATGTTGATATTCACAAATACTTAATGAGGACAGATATAAAATTCATCTACCCCCGCCAACCCCACCCCCCAGTGAGATCGATTGATTTTGAAATAAACAACTTTAAAATCAAGAAACCAGTTTCTACGTTTGAGTTCATTTATCTCAAGAAATTGTTTCAATAAATAATAAGTAATTAAATACACTATGTAATTGAGTTTTCATTCAAACATTATTCAAAATTCAATCGATCAAATCAAACATTGACCAATGAATCTCTCGATTCAGATGTTTGATAGTTAAAAGACACTAAAACTTTCATTAATGGAGTTGAATCGTAAAGATTCAAACATTCAATACAAATGAATTGAGAGACTTGGCTTTTTTAATTTACACATTTGAAATCATCAATCAATCATTGTTAGACCACCATTAGAAACCTGGAAGCACTGAAACACGGCCGTTTCGTCCTGGTATGGGACTACTCATCAGCAGTGCGCATCCACGACTCCTGCTCCTCGCAGGATTCGAACGCCTAACCTCTGGACCACTGTGCCGGCATCCAACGGTGTTAATGTCTAACTTTGATTGATCTAGGGATTTTAATTTAATTTTCTAAACTGTCAAGTTAAGAAGTGGTCATTTGATAACTTTACCAAATTCATGAAAATCTAGTTTCATTTTGCACTTGATAAGAGATTGTTACATCTACTACTACTGAAACGGTTTTGTTAATACTAACTATATCAACCATGAGCAGCAATGGGACTAGTAACAATCGACTGCCGCCCTCTACCAGGTTGTAAATTATAAGCCAGAACAGATAGAATAAATTCTTATTCTCTACTCAATGTCAGAAAACAAACAGATTAATGGTGTGTATTTGTAATTTTCTTGGAATGGCATATAAAGTCATCTAATTCACAATTAGCGATGTTACACAATCACCCAATCACTTTAAGCCATATTGACATTTGTCTGAATTCTATCGAGCCATGATTAGGTGGAAACTCTTCGGCTTCTTAGGTGTCTCTCTCGAGTCTCTCGGGACTCATCCAAAACACAGTTGACCAAAGGACACATACACGTAGTTCAAGAAAGGGAACTTATCAACTTATTTAGTGTTAGGTTCGTCGCTATTACGAGTTCACCTTAGTCGATAAACACGAACGAGACAATGAACCAGAGTCCAGGTAGGCTACCTTGAATACCAAACTGTAAAACAGAAGACTTGATAAGCGTAGAAAGTATATTCTACAAACACCCAGTAATCATACAATACAATCAAGCACACAACTCTCGTTTACTTATACATCATAGAAACGTCGTTGGGAGAGTCACAGCAATAGCACACTAAAATGTACAGCAGACAATCACAGCCATGGATTTACCTGATGGGAATTGAAATCTCAAGATCAACTGATCAGCCCATGCTCGCAAACGTGAAGAAATCCACAATAAGGCATTTTTATCAAGCGAGTTCTGGGGATCGAACATCCACAACATTTAGATTTAAGCATTAAATAATTCAAATTGTACCTTCTTAAATTCATGAATAAATGAAATGGTCAAATTTCAAACAATCATATTAAATAATGAAATATTTATATTGTTCAATGATTAATTTGTCCAAAAAGCCAAAAGTGACGTGATCTTTTTAGATGATTTCTAACACTAAATACTTGAGGGAGAGAGAGAGGAATAGTGGCCAACAGTAAAATTTGTAATGTACATTGAGATTTGAACTCAACATTTGTTGAGGATGTTAGATACCCAGAACTCGCTTGATAAAAATGCCTTAATTTTGGATTTCACGTTTACGAGCATGGGCTGATCAGTTGACCTTGAGATCACATTTCCCACCACGAAAATCCATGGCTATGATTGGCTGCTGCGTATTTTAGTAGGCTATTTTCATAACTGTCCCAACAACGTTTCTATGATGTATAAATAAGCGAGAGTTGTGTGTTTGGTTGTATTGTGATTGCTGGGTGTTTGTAGAACATACTTTCTACGCTATATCAAGACTTCTCTTTTGCAGTTTTGGGATCAGATCATGGTAGCCTATCTGGACGCTGGTTCATTGTCTCGTTCGTGTTCATCGACTAAGGTGAACTCGTAACAGCTTCAAGCGTACCAAGTGAAAAGCGGAACAGCGTTAAAAACTAATTTACACTATAAATGACTTTTTTTAATTAAAAATTAAACAAAACACTCAAATTTCTTACCATACTTTCAAGTGATCCAGCTGAGTTAATAATATTGTCTTGATTAAAAGATGACTGTTAAGAGATTGTTCACAGGTGACAATTTGAGAGATAGAATATGGAGATGGAGAGAGAGAGAGAGAGGTGAGATGAAAATCAATTCATACTGATATAATTTAAATATCATATAAACATTTCTACTATTTTGAAAAGAACTTCGCTAATGCCAGTATGTATCTTTTTCACACTGATTCTCATTCTGTAAGTTCGTTGAAAGTGTATCTGACGTGAAACCCTGTGATAGTTGAGATTCAACACCAAGCGTGTTTCCAATCTTAAGTGGATTGATGATATGAGATTCTAAAACTCATGTCAGCCCACTGTAAGCAGACAAGGATAATGGCTAACATTGGAATTAAGGACGCATGTTTTGTTTTGTTTCAGACTTGTCAGTTGGATATAGCTGCATTCCAGAGTTGATGTTGGCTCGACGACTCCAACTCAGTGCCGAATTCTACTTCACCGAGTTTTGAAGTCTTGTATATTACCAAAGATGTATTCGAGCCGCTACTGACCTTCAGTGAAACTAAACTATTTACAATAATTGATCTTTAAGTAGTAATTATCATTATAAAATATTTGTCCAGCGATTAGTACTGATTGTAAGAATGTGATCAACACTAATAAGCAGACGAATATTACATCGACCATTGCTGATAGATGAATCAATGTATGCTGTATAATTTTATTTATCGAAAGGTATTCAAGCAAAACTTTTCTAAATCAGCTAATCATACTGTTTATAAAGATTGGGAAAACACCTTTCAGATACTTTATGAAATATTACGGACTATTTATGCGTATTAGAGAGAATAAGGTCATTTTCAATTTGATGCACAGTTTTAGTGAAGGAAAATAGAAATTTTCACAACGATTCTCTGCTACGATCACTGTCAACCTCTCTTGTGGTAATGATCGCTTCCCATCGCCGATGTACTATGACTGATCTAAACGCTCACTACGTTACTAGTAAAATATTTAAATTAAGAAAAGTTGTTGAAATGACAATGAAACTGTTAAAATAGGCTGAGAACATTTATGAATGTTTGTAAAAAAAAATTGTAATGAAGATTGGATTAGTGTATTAGAAGAACAGAATTAAAGTATTTTGAGTCCAGTACTACTTATAATGCACTAAATTTCATTCGAAACAAAGTTTGTATAACGTCAGTTTGTTCATCTGAGTCATGTTGGTAGGTGTTGACTATCTGGTTGAGGTCCGCGAGATGAAAATTATCGATGGTTAGAGACCTTGAACGACATGGCTCGAAACTGTTTGCAATGGCGCCGGTGCATTTATTCTTTGTGTTCTCTCAAATCCTAATCTTCTGGGTTCTTCAACACCTCTAGTTTTGACTTCCTAAACTTATCTCACTAAATCATACTTCTTGAATAATATCTTCTAATCCTAACTTCTCCAATTACTTCTAATACCTTGACTATCACTTCTACTATTGGATTTGAATTGACAATTACATTTCTGTGCTGATATGGTATGGCAACATAAACTGATGTACTTACGTACGAAGTTCTACGTTGCATCTGACTGAATGAATGACTGAAATTTCATTAGAACAAAGTTTATCTAACGTCAGTTTATTCATTTGAGTCATGTTGGTAGGTGTTGACTACCTGGTTGCGGTCCGCGAGATGATAATAATCGATGGTTTGAGACCCTGAATGACACGGCTCAAAATCGTTTGCGATGGCGCAGAGTTTTACTCAGTAAAATAGGAAAACCATATCGTAAACAGTTAATTTGCAAATCTTCAATCCATCATCAATCCATTGTCTGACATTTCACTTATTCATGCATTTCATACAAATTCCATTGTGTTTCCACTCTTCATCCCTTTCTTGATCTTCCCCTATCTTCTGCTGCCAGACATTTACGTTTACATTCGCGCCATATACTACTTATAAGTAGCGCGCACCACAGAAGTACCAACAAAAACAATCAACCAATCATCATTGCCGACTTACTTGTTTCGGTGAATTGTATACATTCAATCTCGATTTATTTGTTGCAGTGTTCGTTTGTGATGGTAATAAACAATTTTTAATTGGTCGTATTTTATTTTGTTCTAAAATTGAAGAACTATTCGATATGATTGTATCTCTTTTTTTCGCATTGTAATCATAATGACTATAATCAGATTGATAATTCATTGGAAGATGATAATCCGAATGAGGTTGTGTTTCATGGAATAATTCAGTTTTTTGAATTGAAGTGCCTTAAAATCAAAGAAAAACAATAGATAAATTTAATGAAGTGTGATCAACTCTGAGTAACAATTACCTACTGTCTCCAGAATGATATTTGAACAAATCACATCCCCATAGTCTGCAGCTAACAATTTATGTATATAGTCAATGACGGCTACATGAACTAATGTCATCACTACTACCGATTGAATTGACTGCATCTGGTGTTATGTTCGTCAGTTGGCAGGCTTAAAGTTATTACGAATTCACCTTAGTCAATAAACTAGAATGAGACAATGAACCAGCGTCCAGTTCAGTCAGTCAGTCAGATGCAACGTAGAACTTCGTACGTAAGTACATCAGTTCATGTTGCCATACCACATTAGCACAGAGATGTAATTGTCAATTCAAATCCAATAGTAGAATAGGTAGTAAAGGTATTAGAAGTAATCCGAGAGGTTAGAATTAGAAGATATTATTCAAGAAGTATGATTCAGTGAGAAAAGTTTCCAAAGTCAAAACTAGGGGTGTTGCAGAATTCAGAAGATTAGGATTTGAGAGAACACAAAGAATAAATGAACCTGCGCCATTGCAAACGATTTCGAGCCATGTCATTCAAGGTCTCTAACCATCGATTATTATCATCTCGCGGACCCCAACCAGGTAGTCGACAACTACCGACATGGCTAAGTCCACTCGTCAATGACTTCATGGATTTCTGCCATGTTTTGGTTTGGCCACCCCTAGCTTTGTTCCAACCTATTCGTACACTACAAAACAAAGCTCGTCCAGGTAGGCTACTTTGAATCCAAAACTGCAAAACAGAAGACTTGTTAAGCGTAGAAAGTATATTCTGAAAACACCCAGTAATCACAGTACAATCAAGCATATAACTCTAGTTTACTTATACATCATAGAAACGTCCTTGTGACAGTTACGAAATTAGCACACTAAAATACACAGCAGTCAATCACAGCCATGGATTTTGCTGGTGGAAAATGAAATCTAAAGGTCAACTGATCAGCCCATGCTGGCAAACATGAAATCCAAAATAAGGCGTTTTTGTCAAGCGAGTTCTGGGGATCTAACATCCCTGAACATCTGGAAAATTTTTTAACTTACAATAAACATCAAAGCGAATCCTTAATTGAGATAGGATTGGGACCGTTGGTTGAGAATATACACATGAGAAAAACATATCCTAAGTAACCACATACAACGAAGACTTATCCTCTATGGTCTAGCAGTAGCCTTAAGTTTGTGAATCGAAATTATTGATTGCTAAGTGACTTTCTATTTCTCTATGGAACTTAATCAAAAAAGTAGGTAGAGTCAATACTGTTAGTGTATAAGCTTAATTTCAATTTACATTTACATGTTTTGTATATCCTTTGAAAAAAAGGTATACCTATTGATTGACGGATTTGATAAATGCCCCAACTTCTACATCAGCTCGATTTTTCCGGTTATCGCTTCCGAATGAATTTGTTTAGAATGCAAATTAGACTACCGTATAAAACTCCAAATTCGACTTCTCGTGTTAAACTGTCTAACAAACAGTTTGATCATAATCCTGATGGTTATTCTCTGAATGTTAGTAGGATATTCATCCAATATCCTAACAGAATTATTGGTCAATTCATATTGGTTAATTTCTACTGGTCAATTTTATGGTCGTCCTACATATCAATGTCACGTGCTCCAATGTTGTTTCTTATTGGTTGTCCTGACTATCAATGTCACTTCAAATGTTGCTTCCTATTGGTCATCTTAACTGTCAATGTCACAGACTTCGATGCTGTTTCCTATTCGACCAAAATGTATAAATACGCATTATCTGTAACGTTTTATGACCACGACCAGGACCCGGTCCCGCATCCCTAGTCCGGGATCCTGATTCTCTTCTGGACTCGGACTTTGCACTTTCTTGATGCTTGTAGAATACATGTTCTACTTCACATTCAAGTCTTCTTATTTTTACTCAATATGGGAGTTAAGATGATCGGATTTGAGTAGCATGTCACGTCGCCGGATCCTCGTTTTCCGACTAGGTAAACTCGTAATAGTTCAAGTATATCAAGTTGACGTGTTTACTTGCAGGCGTAACATTGTGGCAGTCGTCTTACATACAGTACAGGATACAGTTTACTACACGGTACTGTAAAATACAACTCTCCCTCACATACACAAACACAATTTTACCAAGAATTATACGATACATGTATGAATACAAAGAGAAAAAATTAGTGTTTTAACAAGCAGTACATAATGAACTGACCAGAATAATTCTGTGACAAATTAGCATACATCGCATCGTCATATTGTGCATGAGTTGTACTTAAAGGTGACGACGATGGTTTATTGGATGAACTTTTACCAATGGTAACTGTTTGGTCAATAAACGGATCTTTGTATGCCTAAAAAAAATGTAAAACGTCATGCAGTCACATTCGGTGTATATAAATTGCGAGAAAAGAAAACAGTAGATTAAAATCTAGTGAACATTGTCTGTCATCTAAATATTTGAAATTCCATGTCCGAAGCTGTGTTTACACAATGCGCAAAATGTGTAACTTAACAATCTTCACAACCCCCCGGTAATGCAAATTACCTGTGCTCACTAGGGACTAGCTTCGTGAGGAATCTTCTCCGAGTTCCAGTGGGAAGACGTGACCAGTGAAGTTCAACCTGTTCGGGTGTATGCAGTGTCAACCGAAGACTGTGTATGAGGTTGCGCAACTCTGTGAATTTGATCAAGTTAGACATTAAGACCGCCAGATATCGGCTCAGTGGTCCAACAGTCAGGGCGTTCGCACCCAATACCGAAAGTCCTGGGTCCGAGTTCTGCTGGGTGCAGGGTCGTGGATGCGCACTGCTGATGAGTCTTGTACGGGGACTTGACGGCCGTCCAGCGCTTCCAGGTTTCTGGTGGTGGTCTAACATCGATCGATTCATGGTTTCAAAAATGTGTAACATATATATTTGAAAAATACTGTGTAAAACAAAGTTTTCTTATAATCGAGATCTTTGTTGAATTATCATGAAGAATGATGAACATCAGCACAACAAATCACAATGGAAAATGTTATCATGACATTCATAGAATTATAAATTCCTTGTCAAGTCTATAACTTGGTAAAAAAATATTGTTTGTTCCTTAAACACGTCTTCGTTAGAATTAAAAAAACTCAAGTGATGAGTTCACAAATCATGAGATTGAAGACCAAAAATCAATACTGTCCTAATTGTTAGGATATTCACCAAATATCCTATGAAGAATCACTTTGTATGTGTAAATTTTATTGGTCGATTCCTATTGGTCAATATTATGGTCGTCCTAGATATCAATGTCACCTACTTCAATGTTGTTTCTTATTGGTCGTCCTGACTATCAATGTCACTTCAAAAGTTTTTTTTTCTATTGATCGTCCTAACTGTCACTATCACAGACTTCGATGCTGTTTCCTATTCGACCTAAATGTATAAATACGCATTATCTGTAACGTTTTATGACTCGGACCCTTAGTCTGGCATCCTGATTCTCTTCTGGACTCGGACCTCGTACTTTCTGGATGTTTGTAGAATACAGGTTCTACTTCATATCAAGTCTTCTTCTTTTACTCAATAGTGGTTGGGACACTCGGATTAGAGTAGCATGTCGTGCCAATGGATACTCGATCCTCGCTCTTGTTTTCCGACTAGGTAAACTCGTAATAACTCAAGCCTATCAAATTGACGTGTTTACATGCACTTGTAACACGAATTGACGAACATATCCGTTACACAGAATACTTCATTTACATCGTCCAAACAAAAGAATGAAGATTGCAGTGTCAAATGGATAACCGTCGCCAGATTTACTTAATAATGGAAAAGTAGAATTTACAGACATCTTTGATGGAATGGAATACTACATGAAAATAGTTTTACCGGATTGAGACTTCCATATTTTTACAATACCCGGACTGTAAGAATTGCTAATGAGATGAATGAGCTTATTCTAGGTAATAGTTAGTATGTTTCATTCAAATTACAGAACTTATCTTAAAATAATTCTGTAAGCAATCTCTGAGTACAGTTTATCTGGATTTTAGTGGTAGTGGAAGTATGAGTTGTTGTATTAGTACAAAAGTATTCAGTTAAAAAGCATTTGACAGCTGTATAGTCATAGTGTGGTGCGCGCTACTTATAAGTAGTAGTATATAACGCGAGTGTAAACGTAATGTCTGGTGGCAGCAGAAGATAAGGGAAGATCAAGAAAGGAAGAGTTAGAACACAATGGAATTTGTATGAAACACATGAATAGTGAGTGAAATGTCAGACAATGGATTGATGATGGATTGAAGATTTGCAAATTAACCACCGTTTACGATATGGTTTTCCTATTTTACTGAGTAACTCTGTAATTTTCGTTAAATACAATTCGGTTGCCCTCACCTGTGTTCTCCTTCACTACATTTGGTGTTGCTGCCTACACAAAGGGTGAAGATTCCGTGGTCGAAGGAGTTTGAGGACGGAGGAGGGCGGAGCTTTCTGAAGGAGTTTGAGGCCTTTGCGGAGCTGGTGGATGTGAAAGAGCCGAAAGCGACGTTGGTGGTGATGGGGACGCTACTGAGAGGTAGGGCAAAGGCCGTATACGACAGCCTGGACGGTGCCTCCGGGAAGACAGCCTGGGAGACGATCACCGGGCTGGTGATGACGGAGTTCGACAGCCCAGTGGACAGGGAGAAGGCGCTGCATTAGTTCCGGTTGGCGAGGCTGTCGGCTGATGGTTACCCGATGGTGCTTGCTGTGGAGCTCACCAGATTGTTGCGCCGTGCTCTGCCGAATATCGATGAGGAGTCGGAGGCACAGTTGTTGGCGTCGCAATTTATCGAGCGTGTGCCTGCCGCCGTGTCCCAGCAGCGGGAACTAGTAAACGCTACACGTTGGATAGATGCCGTATCCATTCCAGACCAGCGGGCAAGAACAATGACCGAAGTGGTAATGCGGCATATTGTAGCGCGTCACGGAATACGGAAGGTGATATCAACTGACCATGGTCCCTGTTTTGAAAGTGACGAGTTTAAAGCCCGTCTAAAGCAGTTTGGCGTCAAGAGGATACGAACTACATCGTATCATCCGCAGATAAACGGGCTTAACTCTGTAATTTTCGTTAAATACAATTCGGTTGCCCTCACCTGTGTTCTCCTTTACTACAATAGTACAGGACTTAATCCAAGAAGCTAACAAAGAGAAAATCTGAAAAATTTAGGATTTTAGGCGATGGATTAACTTTCACGCCAGTGAGTCGGCATTCAAAAGTCCATACTGTCTAACTTTAATCGATTTCTGATATTACACAATCACGTTCCAATGCTATTTATTGGTAGGTAAAACTGTCTTATATACTCGATAAGGTTGAGCTTCATTGGCCATGGTTTCTCAATAAAACTGGGTCCAATCCTCAGGTGTGTTGTTGACCGCATTGTTCAGTGTTTCCAAACTTTCAATAATTATCTAGCTAATGACAACATTTAAATAAGGAATTACAGGAAACAATGAAAATAGTTGAAGGCCACCTACTTCATCTCTTCCAAATTCATTTCTGTTCAGCTTCATCTTTGAAATATCATGGTTTCTATTGCGATCATGATCTTGATCTGTTGCAAAATCAATATTCTCCAGTAAATCATCAAAGTTCCGATGAATATTATAATTATAATTTGCATATTTCAAGTCATTTGAATCTTTTATAAAAAGAGTGGAAAAAACAATGTGAAAGCAAATATTGAAACTTGAAAAATTATTGAACATTATTATATGATTTTAATTAAAGCAATTTATAATACATTTATTTATTTATTGGGAAAGAACAAACGAGATTCCAGTGGAGGAGGAAATCAGGAAGAAGTGGTGGAAGTGGATAGGACACACACATTGAGAAAAGCACCGAACTGCGTCACGAGACAAGCCCTCACATGGAACCCTCAAGGCAAAAGGAAAAGAGGAAGGTCAGAGAACATATTACGCAGTGAAATAGAGAAAGATATGAGAAGAATGAACAAAAAATTTACAGAACTAGAAAGGGAAGCCCAGGACAGAGTTGGTTGGAGAAAACTGGTGGGCGGCCTATGCTCCTTTGGGGGATAACAGGCGTAAGTAAGTAAGTAAGTAAGTAAACTTTGAAAGTAACAAAAAAATGTCCACTTAAACTTAATAGTTGAGATTTTCAATTGACTATCTTAACTATGAATGTTGACAAACGATTGATTACCTTTCAGTGAGTTTTAGAAACGACACTCTTAGAGAGAAATAGTGAATTCACGTTTGTAATGCCAACTTGTATCATCTGTGGTGTTGACAAAGATGTTCGTGTGCTACACAAAAAAGATTGAGTATACCTTGTCATGTCCTGTCCAACCACTGTTTACCTTGATTTGAAATTTTGGCTAGTGCAAAAGAGCTGGAAGAAAGCTAAGCATAGTCGAACAAGGATATGCCATGAGTTTGCGCATTAGTCGATTATTTGACTGAGTTATATTCACAGGTGGAAAATATGAGGTCAGGTGAACGTGATAACTGTGATTTGTGGTTAAAGACACTGGATGACATGGCTACGAAGCAGTCGCAATGGTGAAGAGACATTCACATTTTGTCTTTATACGGAGGACATGCATACATAGCCATTGTCAGGGAAGTCCTACTCAATCCTTTCTATTGGTGGGTTGTTATTCACGAAATCCAGAGGATGAAAAGCAAATATTGGATGCTTAAATATACGGTTAGTGGGTACAAATGACTCATTTTAACGAGTTGGAAAGCATTCTCAACCAATGTTTAACACGAGATCCAACATCCTGATGGAACAAATGGCATATGAACTTATTGTTGGTCACCAAATATCATGAGAGTACATCTTCAAACGCTGCTTCACTGGGTCAAAGGCTCAATGAGTGACTGCCTAAGAAACCAACCTGGTTTGGCTTAGACATCAGGTCAGTATGCCAGCTCGTAGTGAAGTTTAGTGATTTATGTGACGCAAATATAGTGTGATACACTTTTGTGCCGACGTTTAAGTGTTTAACAAAATTTATCCTCATTGAGTTAACATGATGTATCAAGGTGATACAATTTACATAAGTTCCAAGGACGACGTGATTTATGACTGATTGACTGGAAAACATAAACTATTTAGTTTTAAGTCTGTCCGCTAAAACAGAGAAATTTGGTTAGATGTCTCTCACAAGCAGAACAAACATGCTCTGCTCAGCAGATACCGTAAGGAAGGAACTGGAATTTAGTAACAACTTAATGACCGAGATTGACTAACTAAGTGGACTCTTAAAGAAATACATGTTAACACAGGAGAACAAGTCGGAGACTTTGACCGTTCAAAAGAAACCTCTATTCCTTAAACTACAATTCAGTGGCAATGCAGCTATCAATGTCCTGTATGACAGATTAGCGCAGGTAATCGGTAGGACATTCTACGCGGCCAATCTTGTGACCATTAGGATAAGTTATCTGAACTGGCCTCCTCAGTGTACATTTACGAATTCAGCTGCTCCTTTGGAGATAGGCTATAATGGGTATACTTACTACCAGGCAACTTAACCAACGAATGAGTGAACATCTTCCAATGGTGGTTTGGAAACGGTCAGATACAAATGATACGCAGCTCTATCTTGGCACAACTGATGGATAATGGTCGTAATATAGAGAAAACCGAATCATTTCTATTGATCTCTCGTTTACTTCCATCATTTTCGATCCCATCTCCTACATATAGCAGAAGCCATAGGAATCCGACTATACATACACCCCCCAATTTATGTGTTCAGAAGAAATTCACGGCACCCTTGTCCATTTGTTAGCCGGATATAACTTAATATATGATTTCAATTATTATTAGTAGTTCAAAACAGTGGTTCCCTTTGATAAATTTGAATAGAGAAAGCCTCAGATTAGCTGCATTGAAGGTCTTTTTTATTGCAGCTGCAGTCTGTTTGGTTGTAATTTTCATGCAATGATCACCTTTGAAAGGCAACTGTAGGTACACTGGTTTCTTGGGCACATCAGTTGCTATCACCTTCGTCATAGTTGTGTTCTGATGACCAATAAACGTTTGGGGATATCCGTTTGATTTAAGTGTGTCAGTAATAAGCTTGAATTCGTCGTTCAATGTATCAGCAGTGCAGATTCTACTTGCTCGAGCGAATATAGTTTTGACAACAGAACGTTTATACTGTATGGGGCAGAAACTAGTGAAGTGGAGGTACTGTCCCGACCAGGTGGGTTTGCGGTGTACTTTTCGTCTGATTGATCCGTCTGGACGGCGATGGAGCAGGACATCGAGGAAGGCTAGTTCATTATTCTTTTCTTCCTCATAAGTGACTTTCAGATTCGGGTGAATCGCATTAAATAAATCATTGATTTCATTAATGTCTGTAGAATGTGGTAATATGACAAGAATATCGTCGACATATCGTTTGTAAAGTGTAATACCATCGATAAAGTGACTCACTTGTCTTTCTATTATTCCAATGAATATATAAGTCCAACTTTATGTGTTCAAAAACAACTTTATGTTGACCTTTGTTTACCATGGTGGTTCTAGTGAGTGAATGTCATGATAAATAAGAAATTTTGACCTTATCTTCAAAACTGTATTTACACACGAATAACATGTTGCTTGTATGTGACTGACGAGATAGCACGAAATGGTACTATCTCACAAAATATGACTTCTCATTTCTCTATTATTAGTAGTGTTTCACATTGACTAAATACAACTGATTTCAGTGCTTGAAGGAGACGCCTAGTTTCTTTTTCAGTACATGTGAAATAATAAACATTCTATAAATGATAAATGAGGAAAATTTTCAATCAATTATATTTCACTTACCTAATGTAGAAGAAAGCTTTGAATGCTCAGTGGAAAATATATTTGATTTAAATTGTCGATTATCTAAATCATGAGATGTTTTCAGAGGATTCAAAGTCTATGTTTGTTAACAATAAACAGAAGAAAAATAAAACCAAATATTTTTAAAAATAATATACAACACACATTGACAGAATGATTGAATTTTGATAGATATTGGACATTGACTAATGGTCACAGCAAGTACGCGCATGTTTCAATCTATATTTGAGTGCATACACAGCTTAGCCGATAAATTCACGCTGAGGCCTGAAATCAGTACATTTTTTTGGGCCTCAAAACGTATCAGTGTAAATTTCAGTTAGAGCTATGGAGATTTGTGTATTTTTGCACATTTGAAATCATCAATCAATCAGTGTAAGACCACCACTAGAAACCTGGAAGCACTGAAAACCGGCCATTTCGTCCTGGTATGGGACTACTCATCAGTGGCAGTGCGCATCCATGACTCCGAGAATTTCCTCACGAAGCTAGTCCCTAGTGAGAAGATGTGACCAATGGAGTTCAACCCTGTTGGGTGTAGGCAGTAACTATCAAAGACAAATTGGTGAGGTCGCGCAAAATTCCGTAGATCAATCAGTGTTAGGCATTAACACCGTTGGATGCCGGCCCAGTGGTCCGATGGTTAGGCGTTCGCGCACAATACCGAAGGTCAACGGTTCGAATCCTGCGAGTTGCAGGAATCGTGGATGCGCACTGCCACTGATGAGTCCCATACCAGGACGAAACGGCCGTCCAGTGCTTCTAGGTTTCTAATGGTGGTCTAACAATGAGTGATTGGTGATTTCAAATGTACCAGTGTTAGCTACAATCCAACTTTAATAAAATCTTCTGATTTAATTGAAATATCACAGTCATAATTGTCATTAGAATCTGATCGATTACATCACTTGAATAACTGTTGCAAACTCAAGGAGTGTTTGCCTTAGCCTGCAACTTCTCAACAAGAAGCAGGAACAACAATGGAAGCTGAGGTAGAAGATTTACCATTAGGTCAAGTTACTTTTAAATTATCAGGTTTCAACTAAATACATCAAATGTTCAGCTATTTAACTTGAACAATTTATATGTGACATGCTTATAGTGTGAAGTATTATTGAACTGAAATTCTTAAAATTACTTGTATAGTTTGCTTCCATGTATGCTTAACCTTATCAATGAATTGGCTTCCTAGTACCGTAGCTGCTATCTTGACGTGGTGGTCGGGCTTGCCTATCGTGATTAGCCAACCGAGCTATACTGGCTGGAACATATGTTCCTGAAGGTCCTACCATGCCAGGAAGGTCGATTGGAGAACGATGAGACTAAAAGCAGCTACCCAAGGTCTGAGGGCGAAGTCGTACTGCTGACTGCAGAGGGGTGTGACAGCAGTAAAGTGTTTCCCTCGGACAACAAGCAGCATCTGCAGCGATGCTGCCTTCTCACAAGGAAGAAGGAGGGGTTGGAAAAGTTAGACCCTAAAACTGTCACACCTCACCCTACCTCACGGATTTCCGTCTCCGTCGGTAAGGGTGCCCACTAAGGGCCTTTAAGAACGGAGCTACTACTCGAAAATCCTTTCATAAAAAGGCCATGCGTGATCGGCCTCAAGCAGTTGTCCCTTGGTCTCTGCGGTCACGCTCCCAGGTCTCCAAGATCAACACTAATCTATCTTCCTTTTCAGGTTCCTCAAGAAACACCCTTCCACAGTGTAGGCAGCCGGGAAGTGACATCCGCCCTCATACCCGTATCAGCACACGAAATCAAATACTTCCTACACCCGCCAATACTTCTCTTCTCTCCACGACGAACTCTGACTTCCTAGTACATTACATGAAACATTAGCTTATTATTTTGACAATAAACATTTATTGAAATAAATTATACTATTTAGGATTTTATTTTAATAAATAATTATGTTATTGGATTTTTAAAATTAGACTATTTGATCACAAAGTTTTCAGTGTTATTTTCTAAACACTATCATAAAAGTCTAACTAAAAAATGTGTTTAAATGGGAGAATGTACTCACGCAATTTTGTAAAATCTGATAGTCAGTCAGTCAGTCAGTTACAACGTAGTACTTCGTAAGTAAGTACATCAGTTCAGGTTACCAAACCACATCAGCACAGAGATGTAACTGTCAATTCAAATCCCGTTGAAGCCGAGGTAGTAGAATTATAAGCGGTAATGGAGAAGATTAGGATTCGAAGATATTATTCAAGAAGTATAATTCATAAGAGATAAATTTAGAAAGAGAAAGGCGAAGGTGATAAGGAATTCATAAGGTTAGAATTTCATGCAACACAGCAAGTGGATGCACATGCACCATTGCAAACGATTTTCAGCCATGTCATTCCAAATCTCTGACCAACGGTTAATATCGTCTCGCGAACCCCAACCAGGTAGTCTACACCTACTAAAATGGCTCAATCTACTTGTCCGTGATCTCATGGATTTGTGCCATATTTTAGTTTGGCCGTCCCTGACTTTCTTCCAGCCTACCCCTACATCATTAAATGTCGATCGACGAAGTATTTGATGGTTAGGCGAACGCAACACATGTCCCAACCACTTCAACTGATAAAAATTCACAAATTCATCAATCGATCAGCCATCCTTACCTAGTACTCGCTTTCTAACGACAGCACTGCTTACTCGGTTGTCCTACGACACACGGGCAATGGTTCTAAGACATCTGTGATCGAAGACTAGTAACCTAGGAATATCTTTTACTATTAACGGCCGTGTTTCGCATCCATATAGGAGAACGGAGCGGACTGCTGCACAGTCTTTCGACTTTCGGTTAGCAAGCGGATATCTTGCCTTCGCCATAAAAGACGAAGGATGGAAAAAGCCAATCGACCTTTCTGTGTCCGTGCTGAGGTTTCATTAGTCAGTAGGCCATCAGCACACATGAGACTCCCGAGATAAGTAAAGCGGTCTACACGTCCGACTAATTCACTCCCTATCATTTGTTCAGGTAACGATGAAACCTAATCTTGAAGCAACATTTTGCATTTCGAGGGGGGAAACCGCATCCCGAACATACTTGCTTTGCTGCTTAGGGTAGTCAGAAGACTCTGCATTTTGTCAGCGTCTTTACCACTCACTTCTTTTTAGTGGCAGGGTTGTTATTCACGAAATCCAGAGGACGAAAAGTAAATATTGGATGCTTAAATATAGGGTTAGTGGGTACAAATGACTCATTTGAACGAGTTGAGAAATCCTTCATTCTAAACCAATGGTTTACACGGGATCCAATATCCTGAAGGAAACAAATAGCATATAAACTTAATGTTGGTCACCAAATATCATGAAATGACATCTTCTAATGTTATCACACTACCTTATGGATTAGATTTCTGGATCAATGTGTTCACGTAATATCCTCCTAAGAAAACTACCGGGGTTTTGATTTGGGCATTCGAGTAGTGTGTTAGTAGCTCTTACACACATTAACTGACTTCTTTGGAGCATGTATATATTGTGGCGCCAACTTTTTTAAACCGATATTCATGTGCTTAAATAAAATAAAAATGATGAATGGAATTCTGAAAGATTTATTTTGTCAGTCAGTCAGTTGTAACGTAGAACTTCGTACGTATGTACATAAGTTCATGTTGCCATACCACATTAGCATAGAGACGCAAATGTCAAATCAAATCCCATAGTGATAAAGATAGTAGAGGTATTAATGTTAATGAAGAAGACTAGGGTTTGAAGATATTATTCAAAAAGTATAATTAGGTGAGATAAGGTTAGAAAGATAAAGGTAGAGGTGCTGGCTAATCCATAAGATTAGGATTTGAGAGAGCTCAAAGAATGGATGCACTTGCGCCATTGCAAACGATTTTGAGCCATGTCGTTCAAAGTCTCTAACCATTGGTGACTTTCGTTTCGCGAACCCCAACCAGGTAGTCGACGCCTACCGACATGACTCAATCTACTTGTCAGTAACTTCATGGATTTGTTCCATGTTTTGGGTTCGGCCGCCACTAACTTTCTTCCAACCTTCTCCTACACCACAAAACATCACTCGTCGAGGCAGTCGGTGGTTGGACATTCGTAGCACATGTCCCAACCACCTCAACTGATGAAGTTTCACCACTTCATCTATTGATCTGCCATCCTTACCTAGTACTCGTTTCCCAACGACAGCATTGCTTACTCGGTTGTCCCACGAAATGAAATAGTGAATGGAATTCTGAAAGATTTATTTTGTCAGTGAACTGTGTCCGCTCTAAACACACAACCTATTGTATCTAATCTTGAACGGTCTTTGTACATCATCATACTAGTATAGGATTTTTTTTAGCCTAGTATTTAAACAAATTTTTTCTCAGCAATTAAACTACAAAATCTTCAGTTGTTCAAGAAAATAATAATAATGTGTAGATTTCTCAAGCTGACATCCGATGGGTTCATGTTTTGTACATGTACATGTACAATCGGTCAATACTCATTGATAAGTCTATCTAGTTAAAATTTCAATGTGACATGTACATTCTAAAATTGAACAGTCTTCTTCATAAATCTTAAAATTACCTTTCGTTCTGATGAATGACTATTATTCCATTGATCAATTTTATTCATTTCATTAGAATAATATTCTTGAAATGGTTGTTTACGCGATAATCCATGATGATCTCTTTCATTTCTGTCATCAGCGTCAGCATCGTCAGCATGAGAATATCTTGAAGGTAGTTCAAATGATTTTCTTAATGCTGTTATTGTTGTTGTTGTTCTAGTCGGCGACGTTGCCAACACTCTTGTCGGTGATAACATTTTCTCTGAATATGATCTTGAACGAATTGAAGATTTTTGAATTAGATCAGATGGATCATGAAAATTCAATGGTTTATGTCGTTCATCTTGTAATGATGGTTTAATTGTTGTGTTTTGCATAAATAATGAATCATGTGGGAATAAATTTAAATCTTCCGGGATACTTTCCAGTATTTGAAAGAGATGAAAAAAAAGGGAAACAACAATGAACAATTACGATACTGAATAAAATCAATTTTTGTTGAACAAGCATTTCAATAAAACTATCTGTTATGCTTGTCACTTCTTGGTTTGCATGAAACTACTACGGGTGTTCACCTTAGTTGATAAACGAGAACGTGACAATGAATCAGTGTCCAGGTAGGCTACTCTGATCTGAAGAAAAAATCTTGATATGGTGTAGAAAGCGTATTCTATGAACACCCAGCCAGCACACACAATGAATTCGTGTGGTGTGAGCTACATATAAGTAGTATGTGACGTCAGTGTAAACGTAATGTCTGGCAGCAGAAGATGGGGGAAGATCAGGAAAAGAAGAGTTGGAACACAATGGAATTTGTATGAAACGCATGAATAGTAGTGACAATGGATTGATGTTTTGCAACAGGAACAGTCCAGTTCGATATGATGGACTGATATTTTGCAACTGAACGGTTGACGATATGGTTTTCCGATTTTACTGAGTAACGCTGTAATTTACGTTAAATACAATTCGGTTGCCCCACCTGTGTTCTCGTTCACTACACTATTACGGGTGTTCAACTTAGTCGATAAAAACGAGAACAAGACAATGAATCAGTGACACAGTAGGCTACTTTGATCTGAAGAAAAAGTCTTGATATGGTGTAGAAAGTGTGCTCTACAAACACCTAGCAAACACTAATGATCTCGAGCACACAAATCGCGTTTCTTTATACATCATAGAAACGCTCTAGGGATAGTCACCAAAATAACACATCGACCAATCAGAGCCAAGGATTTTCCTGGTGAGAAATGTGACCTCAAGGTCAACTGATCAGCTTATGGATAAAATCCAAAATGAAGACATTTATCAAGCGAGTTCTGGGGATCTAACATCCCCCAACACTATCTCAATAAAGATATATCATACGTGAGTCAACCAAAACACAAATCATCTTATCTTATGTTCATACTAATGTGATTATTTTCCTTAGTTAACTCAACATTTGTGATTGGTTTTCAAACTACACAAATTGAAACATTGAATTCATAAAAAGAAAAGCATGAACATGAACAAATACCTTTGAAATTTTTTAATTCCATTCTCGTCTTCTTCTTCACCTACTACTACTTCGTTGTCACTGTCATCACCATGATCATTATCCGTCATCATCATCAGTCTTGCTTGATCACGATGATGTTTGTGTTTGATTGATGCTTGAGAATAATGATCAAATGCAGTACTAGGACGTTTATTTGTTACACCAACATAGATATTAGAATAATTGGATTCCGTGAATTTATGTCGCAGTGAATTATTATTATTATTAGCCGATTGAGTCGATTGACGTTGATGCAAAACACCATCATGTTGATGTAGTCTACGCAATAGCGTAGCTGATGGTGCTTTGGAATTAAATTTATTTGACTAGACAAAAAAACGAAATAGAAAAGGAAAGTAAACATTGATGGATGATGTAAGCAAACTGAATTAATACGAAAATTCGATTGAAACTATTTGTTTGGGATGTTAGACCCCCCCAAAACTCGCTTGATAATGGTAATCGCATCTCTGTCAGTGGAAGACTACGCAGGATGTTATCTGACAACCGCGAGTTGCGTATTACCGGTATCTGCAACAGACATATAAAATGCTTCTAGAAACGACCCAATCATCAAGGTGACAGGAAGCAACTGTATCAGCGGCCGGCTTCACTTATGCATCGTGAACGATTGTTTGATGTTTGGTGAAAGAGTAGTGGTGCCAGAATCCCTTCGTGAAAAAGTGCTGAGACAGTTCCATCTCGGTCATCCTGGGGTTAAATGAATGAAGTCCATAGCCAGGAGTTATGCATACTGACCTCTCATGGATCAACATGCCACGGCGTTGGTTGAAAAATGTATGCGGTGTCAGCAAGCGTCAAAGATGAATACCAAAGTTCCGCCATGGTCCAGGATACACGTTGACTTCGCTGGTCTAATCCATGGAACTATGTATTTAGTTGTGGGCGACGCATTCTCAAAATGGCCAAAAATCAGCCCCGTAGTGCCGCTTACGACAAGTAAGACAATACAGCTCCTCACAGAAATTTTCTCTCGAAATAGCATACCAGATGTGATAGTATCTGAAAATGGGTCTCAGTTTACCTCCACACAATTCCAAACTATCTGTCAACGGCTAGCCGTTAAGCACTTACGCTCGCCACCATGCCACCCGCAATCGAATGGGCAAGCCGAAAGGTTTGTGGATACGTTTAGGAGAGCATTGGTTAAGTCAAAAGTGGAGGGGACACCAGCTGACGTGTTACAAAATTTTTTGTACGTCTATCGAACAACACTAAATGAGTTGTTACCGGAGCAAAAGTCCCCAGCAGAAATCTTGATGGGAAAAATACTGAAAACGATTCATAGCCTGATGCATCCGGCTAATGCACCAACATCAGTAGAGACAAAGCGGCAAAGACAATCTTCTTACGAAGTGGGATGCCCTGTGTTTGCCTGCGACTACAGGACAAACCGTGGTCCTTTAACAGTAGCGCGAGTGGTTAGAAAATTTGGGCGTGTTATACACGAAGTAGAGGTAAGAGACGAAAGGTGGTCAAGCCATCGAAATCAGATACGCGAACGGCTAGCCCCAGATCGCCCATCAAGAGAAGTAAATCTTCCCCCTGACATCCTGCCAGGTACCTTCAACCTACCAGCAGCGCCACTACGAGAATAAACTCAGCCACAAGCAGATCTCCTTGCCCTAAGGTATCCTCTCAGACAGCGGCGAACAATAGTTACGATGAAGACGACCACAGGAGAGCACGCAATTAAAAAGGGGAGGAGCGTTGGGGATGTTAGATCCCCAGAACTCGCTTGGATTTTATTCATGCGCTGATCAGTTGACCTTGAGATCAGATTTCCCACCAGGAAAATCCTTGGCTGTGATTGGTTACTGTATTATTCCAGTGTGCTGTTTTGGCACTCTCCCAAGGACGTTTCTATGGTGTATAATAAACGCGATTCTTTTATGTGCTGCTTGGGTGTTTGTTGAATACACTCTTACACCATATCAAGACTTTAAAGTTAGTTCCTTTGAGTCAACGGATCAGGGTAGCCCACCTGGACGCTGGTTCATTGTCTCGTTCTTGTTATTCGACTAAGGTGAACCAGTAATAGTTTTAAGCATACCTAGTGACGAGTGTAACACTATTTTAATTTGGCTAATTGTAAAATAGAGTTTCATATGGTTGGTTGTGGTACAAATTCAACGTGTTTAAAGGACACAATTAAAGAGTCTAAGAACTCATGCAACAAAGAGAAAATATCTTGTGTAACAAACTTGTTAAGACTTAAGTTAGCCTATTTATCGAACAATTTCTACGCTGATTTTAACATGGAAAATTGATCCTGAATTGTTTGAATTCAAATCAGACAACTCTACTGAATTATTCTATGTATGGAGATAACAAAATTTTATCAAAAGAATCACTTGTGCTAATGAACATCATCTCAATGTGACCAAATAAACGAGTAGCGAAGGCTGTGAATAGCTCAATATTGGAGCCGTTTAGCGCAAAACGGGTCATAGCTCCTGTTTAAAATAAATCTGTTTCAATAATTCATCGAGTTAGTAAGTTTTTGCCCAAAATCAGTTCGATTGAAAATTCTTCAAATGACAGAATTAACAGCCATTTAGGAATATGTTTAACGCCTCCCATTACCTTGACCAAGTCAACAGTTACATAAAGCCTTTCTGAGTCAAATGTAATTGCTTTAGTCATCTTTATTCCCAAATATTTCGATTATTGTGATCATCGGTGGCTTAACATAGCTATTAACCCTCTAAACATTTGATCAGTTTACTACTTAACATTCACCTTACTTAAATATACCTCATTGAATTTGGTAATTATTTCTCTCAACCTAACCCTAACCCATATTATTTTGATGATTGATGTCACAATTTCATTTAACATTTCAACTTATTCAAAATTATAACACGCGTCGTATTGATCAATGCTCAGTATGAACAATTTAGATATTACACACCATCTTAACTTCACATGATGTTATTTTGAAAAAAGGAATCTTGGTTTAAACCTGGCTATTTTACGGTTTATTAATTTGTAAAACCTGATAGGAATTTAGTGAAAAGGACCAAACGGCCGTGCAATGCTTCCATTCATTCTAAGGTTTAGAGATGAACAGATAATCCACGCGAATTTAACATTATTAACATTCAGCCATTCTAAAATTAAACGTTCATAAAACGCCTTTCTAGTTAATTCTTCAATAAACAGGATCTGGATTGGACAAATGACATATTAGTGAGTATACATTACGTAACTATCAGTGGCTCAATAATAAATAAACATTTGTATCTTCTGGATGATGGCTTTGGCAGTTCTCCAAGTTTCCGCCTCATACAGTAGAATTGTCTTGACAGTTAATATTGAAAATTTCGACCTTGGTGTTGGATAATAGTTCTTTCGAGTTCCAAATGTTTTTAAAATGTAGAAATGGCTGTACATTCACAACTAATTTATCTTATATTTTTAAACTACTTATAAGTAGTGTACATACAAATATAAAAAATACGTTACCTGTGTTACCTGATCAGTAAGTAATTTATTGCTTCGTTCAGTTAGTCGAAATGATTTTTGAGTATTTTTTAACTTTCTATGAATCAATTGATGTGGAGCGCAGAGATTTTCAATATTAGCTAATTCTTTTTCTAAACGTTTCCGCTGCAAACGAATTTCAACCGGTTCAGGCATATTATCTAATTTCGGTAGAATTGACAATGTATTATTATTGATGAAGTCATCATTATTATTGAAAGGTGATGCGGATTGTGGTGAGGTTGGAGATAATGAGACAGGTGTTGCTGGTTGACTGGAACCATTCTCATCAAGTAGAGGACTTGAACGATGTAGAGAATGATGGCGTAATGAATTATTAAGGACACGGGCAATTTCACGTTCTTCAATATCACGAGCAAACTCCAAACTTGGATTTGAGGGGACAATTTCATGTGAGGGTAAAAGGTGCTGTTTTTAAGGATTTAAAAGATGATATATATAGAGAAAGTCAATCTAAGAAGGTTAAAAAATAAATAGATGGATGGTGACTTATGTTATGAAATTTTAAAAACTGGCGATTAATTCAGTAGATGGTCGGTTTTATTCGTCTTCTACACGACCCAGCCGATATGTACCATAAACATCAATCCGGCTGTCGTGGTTTTCACATTCCAGTTTTAGTATTCTCTTATTGCTGTTTTTATTCATCAATAAGCTATTTGATAGCATTTTTTAAATACTATAATCTCAATGTCATTTTTAACTGAATTTTATCAACCAAGTCATGTTATGTGATGCAGCTACTTGGTTGGGGTCCGCGAGATGATAATAATCGATGGTTAGCGACCCTGAATGACATGGCTCAAAATCGTTTGCAATGGCGTCGGTGCATCCACTCTTTGTGTTCTCTCAAATCCTAATCTTCTGGATTCTTCAACACCTCTAGTTTTGACTTTTTAAACTTATCTCACTGAATCACATACTTCTTGAATAATATCTTCTAATCCTAACCTCTCCGATTACTTCTAATACCTTTACTACCTCTACTACTATTGGATTTGAATTGACAATTATATCTCTGTGCTGATATGGTATGGCACCATGAACTGATGTACTTACGTACGAAGTTCTACGTTGCATCTGACTGACTGACTGATGTGATGCAGTTGGTTCGATTTTGCACCCACCAACCAAACCAACCATCAAACAGGACCAGTTCTAGGTTAGATGACACAGCACTGAATATTTAAAAAATGTGTTGAATATTTCCAAGATTATTTATTAGCAATGCCGATGAATCAATCGCACTTGGTGAACCAATTCATGTGCTTTTATCTTTACTCTATACTTGTCTAGTTTTCTCTCTCTCTCTCAAAAATTAATGTTAATTTGATAAGATTCTATTTGTTTTTTCTGGGCAGCTATTAAATAAGCGAAATCGCCTGATTATCACAACAGAGAAAAATTCAGATTAAGTATTAACTGCAAGATGGTCACAAATTCTTTCCATCCAGGTAGAATAAGCTTATCATAATTTCACATAATTAACAAAGAAATATCAAGTCGGAATGAACTGTTTGTATGAGTAAAAAATTGTTCTAGACTTTGGCTTCATTCACTAGTATATTCAGATCAAGTTCATTTATATACATATATATATTTGTATAACAGACTATTTCATTTCAGTAAGAGATTGTTTAGTCAGCTGGTCAATAGTAGTTGAATCGTCTAAAATATGTGTGTGAGAAAATTCCAAATCTCCTGTGTTGTAGTAACAAATCAGACAGACATATACAACGAAGAACTTTGTACGTAAGTACGTACATCAGTTCAGGTTGCCATACCACATCAGCACACAGAGACGCAACTATCAGTTCAAATCCAACAGTGATAGCAATAGTAGAAGTAGTAACAGTAATGTAGAAGATTAGGGAGCGAAGATATGATTCGAGAAGTATAATTCAGTGAATCTTTAGAAAGAGAAAGATAGAGATGATGAGGAATTCTCAGAAGGTTAGAATTTCATGGAACACAAAAAGTGGATGCACCGGCGCCATTGCAAACGATTTTCAGCCACCATGTCGTTCAAGATCTCTAATCATTGGTGACCATCGTCTCGCGGATCACCCGAGTTAAAACCATTGAAGTAAATTATTAACACGGAGACTACTAATTAAGACTAATAACCTAAGTAGAGATTGGTTAGTTAGAAAACAAAATCATTCATTCGAAGGAAGCAAAGCAATTGAAGTGAGAATAAAGAGTCAGTCAGTTGCAACGTAAGAACTTTGTATGTATGTACATAAGTACATATTGCCATACCACATGAGCACAGAGACACAAATGTCAAATCAAATCCCATAGTGATAAAGATGGTAGAGGTATTAATGGTAATGAAGAAGACTAGGGTTTGAAGATATTATTCAAGAAGTATAATTCAGTGAGATAAGTTTAGAAAGACAAAGGTAGAGATGCTGACGAATCCAGAAGATTAGGATTTGAGAGAGCTCAACGAATGGATGCACTTGAGCCATTGCAAACAATATTGAGCCATGTTGTTCAAGGTCTCTAACAATTGGTGACTTTCGTCTCGCGGACCCTAACCAGATAGTCTACATCTACCAACATGACTCAATCCAGTTGTCAGTGACTTCATGGATTTCTACCATGTTTTGGTCTGGCCGCCCCTAGCTTTCTTCCAATCTACACCTACACCACAAGGCATAGCTCGTCGAGGCAGTCGGTGGTTAGGCATATATAACACATGTCCTAGCCACCTCAACTCATGAAGTTTCACTACGTCATCTATTGATTTGCCATCCCTACCTAGAACTCGTTTCGGTTGTCCCACGATATACGAGCAATGCTTCTTAAACATCTATGATCGAATACTAGTAACCTACGAACATCTTCTACTCTTGACGTCCATGTTTCGCATCCGTATAGGCGAATAGAGAATAAAGAGTAGAGTAGAGGATATTTTCCCATAACAAGGTTAGATGGAAGTCAGAAAGTCAAAAGGAAAAAGACATCAACATGAGAAGATTCTAGAATGTTCCCCTCAGTATTGGCTAGCGCTGATTGGATGATGCCAAAGAGCCAATCAGCGTGCCACAACACAATCCAATCCAATCTATGCCTCGTTAACACTATCATTGTAAATTATTTAATTAAAAAATTGAATTTACTTACTCTTCGATATTCACTTGCGAATAGTACATCATCACCACCGTACACATCACCCATACGAATCATATTATCAAGAAATTTTATCAATGGATCTGATAATTTCAATTGACTAATGACATCATTCAATTCAGATTGAATTACAGCTATATCGGATTTTGATTCGTTGGTATTGCTAAAATCAATTTTTTAAGATAAAGAGGATTTTGCGAATTAACTAACTGAAAGAGGTTTAAAGGGATTGATTTAATTTTTAGACTGTACTACTATTGAGAATTAGAGTACATTGAAAGACTGTTTCAGTAGTGTAAATCCATGATCCTATATAGGTCCGAATCTAGGGTCCCCAGGTTACACTTACTTATTTACTTACTTACGCCTGTTACCCCCAATGGAGCATAGGACGCCGAGCAGTTTTCTCCAACCAACTCTGTCCTGGGCTTCCTTCTCCAGTTCTGTCCAATGTTTGTTCATTCCTCCCATATCTTTCTCTATTTCTCGGCGTAATGTGTTCCTTGGCCTTCCTCCTTTCCTTTTGCATTGAGGATTCCATGTGAGGGCTTGTCTCGTGACGCAGTTAGGTGCTTTCCACAATGTGTGTCCTATCCACTTCCACCGATTCTTCCTGATTTCCTCCTCCACTGAATCTGGTTTGTTCTCTCTCACAGTAAGTTGTTGCTGATGGTGTCTGGCCAACGAATACGAAGTATTTTGCATAGACAACTGTTAATAAACACTTGTATCTCCTGGATGATAGCTTTCGTAGTTCTCCACGTTTCCGCTCCATACAATAGAACTGTCTTGACATTTGTATTGAAAATCCTGATTTTGGTTTTGGTTGAAAGTTGTTTGGAGTTCCAGATATTTTTCAACTGTAGAAATGCAGCCCTTGCTTTGCCAATCCGCGCCCTCACATCTGCATCGGATCCACCTTGATTGTCGTCAATGTCATGAGAATGCAAGTAATTAGAATGAACAGGTCCGAAAGTAAGCATTGTAACCGATTACTGTATAAATCTCACAGTAATTTCAACATTAACGCTTTTATTAGTCTGGTTTAATTTTTTCTTCAAGGTAGTAAACTCATCTAATTGAAAATCAATTGGTTATTTATCAAATACAAAATGAAGTCATAATAAATGTAACCATTAATCAGGACAAAATAGTTCAACTCTAATTGAAAATTCAGATAACGTGCGCACACACACACACATAAATCATGAAAACACTAAGCAGAGTTAACACATTAATAAAATAATATGTCAAAATTATTCCATTGCATTCTTCCTTTCAGAAATAATGAATATCAAATAATTCAGAGATCTTTTAAAGCTTTATATTTTCTCTCTATTTAACTAAAATATTCAATAGAAATATATGAATGTCACACAGCTTAATATAATATATGTATGACATGACAAAGTTACAACTACACATTGATTACAAATTTACTGAATTATGTGTTCAATGTTAGTTCTATTTAATAAAATGTCAAAATAAACAATACAGTCAGTTAGTTACAACGTGGAACTTCGTACGTACGTACGTACGTACATCAGTTCAGGTTGCCATACCACATTAGCACAGAGAAGTAATTGGTAATTCAAACCACATAATAGTAGAGGTAGTAGAAGTAATAGCAGTCATCAGAGAAATCAGGAGTCAAAGATACCATTCAAGAAGTAGAATCTAAAGAAATCGTTAGTGGGACATAGATGGAATTAAAGCATGACTACGTTGCTGCGCGCTGATTGGCTAATTTCCTGTCCAATCAGCGCCTGATCGAATCTTGGAGAACAGGGTAGAAGATTCTCGTATTGTTAGCTGCGTGCTGATTGGTTAAACCTAATCCAGTCGGTCACGTGAAGTTTTCCATGTAAATGCTATAAATAGACTAACGTTGTATCTATTTTTGGGCCTTCTTAACCTTGCTATTTGGAATATAATCTTTTCCTGCTCAACTGTGTTTTTAATTATTTGGAACTTGTCCAGTGTGTTGTGGTCAGAGAATACTAAGCAATAGGATTTAGCCGGAAATATATTTAAGCAAACCATTACAACACAGCCGTTACAACAGAAATAAACTTAAAAAGAAAAAGATAAGGGTCGTCAGGAAGTCAGAAAGTTTAGAATTTGAAAGAACACAAAGAGTGGATGCACCTGCGCCATTGCAAACGATTTTCAGCCATGTCATTCAAGGTCTTTAACCATTTGTTACTTTCGTTTCGCGGACCCTAACCAGGTAGCCGACATCTACCAACATGACTCAGTTCATTTGTCAGTGACTTTATGGATTTGTTCCATGTTTTGGTTTGGCCGCCCCTAACTTTCTTCCAGCCTAAACCAAAAAACATTGCTCGTTGAGGCAGTCGGTGGTTCAGCATTCGTAATACATGTCCCAAGGTAAAAAAATGTTACATTTATGTAATCCAAGACGAGAGTTTCTTTGTGTTTCGAACTCGTCAGTTGGATGTACCTGTGTATTATAGAGTTAAATGTTCACTCCATACCTCGAACCAAGAGTACCGTTTTTAGTTCGAATCCCATGACATTACCCACTAAAACTAATGGATACACAAATAGTCGCTGGTTTATATGCCGGTGAGTGGAAGATGTCGATTCATATATGACTAGTCAGTTGAATCATCCAGTTGTGTTACGCCTGCACGTAAACACGTCAACTTGATATACTTGAACTATCACGGATTTACCTAGTCGGAAACGAGAGAGAGGATCCGGTGACTCGACATGTTACTCAAATCCGATTATTACAACCCCCATATGTAGTAAAAATAATAAGACATGAAATGAAGTAGAACGTGTATTCTACAAGCATCCAGAAAGTACGAGGTCCGAATCCAGAAGAAAGTCGGGATCCCGGACTAGGGATCCGGGACCGAGCCCTGGTCCTGGCCGTGGTCGTGGTCATAAAACGTTACAAATAATGCGTATTTATACATTTTGGTCGAATAGAAAACAGCATCGAAGTCTGTGACATTGACAGTTAATACGACCAATAGGAAGCAACATTTGAAGTGACATTGATAGTCAGGACAACAACCAATAAGGAACAACATTGGAGTATGTGACATTGATATCTAGGACGACCATAAAATTGACCAGTAGGAATTAACCAATAGGAATTGACCAATAATTCTCTCAGGATATTGGATGAATATCCAAACAAGTTGACGAGTCCTAAGTGAAACGAAACCTATGTCCTAGATTCTTTTGATAGCCAACATCCAACGATAACTTTATCAGTTCACGATTTCAACATACACAATCAGTACTCTGTCTTGAACACCTGTGATCAAATATTTCCACAATCTACTCAAGTTTGTTATTTTTCAAAGATCATGTTTTTGTGAGCACAGTATATAGTTTCTCATTGATTGATCGATAAATAAACAAATAAACAGACATTTCACCGGTTCAATAAGTGAAAAAAACTTGACAAATAAAACTAACTGAACAACCATTGTACACCCATTCCAACAGTTTGTTAAGTCACTATTGTCTACCAAAGAACAAACAGTGATAAACGACATTACAGGGTTGTGAAGATTGTTAAGTTACATATTTTTGAACCCATGAGTCGACCAATGTTAGACCACCATTAGAAACCTGAAAGCACTTGAAGGCCGTTTCGTCCTGGTATGGGACTCATCAGCATTGCACATCCACGGCTCCTGCACCCCGCAGGATTCGAATCCAGGACCTCCGGTATTGTGCGCGAACGCCTAACCTCTGGACCACTGAGGCGGTATCTGACGGTGTTAATGTCTAACTTGATCAGATTCAGGGAGTTGCGCAACCTCATACACAGTCTTCGGTAGACACTGCCTACATCCGAACAGGTTGAACTTCACTGGGGGTGCAGGAGTCGTGAATGCGCACTGCTGATGAGTCCCCTACCAGGACGAAACGGCCTTCCAGTGCTTCCAGGTTTCTAATGTTGGTCTAACATTGATCGACTCATGATTTCAAAAATGATAAATGACACTTACCCTTTGACTAATCGAATTTGATCAATTTGATAAGTGAAATATTCATACCATCTTTTCAAATTGGCTTTTTCACGATTCAATTGCAGAAGTAATAAAATAAGATCATCACGCTGTGAAACGGAAAAAAAAGAGAAGAAAAACCAATCATTTATAAAGTTGAACCGAAAATAAATGGAAGTTTAGATTCAGAATATGACAAGAAAGACCAATTTGTTTGACAACAACAACGATGAACCTTTAGCCGTACAAAAATGACCTTGAAATTACTGGCAGAAACTTAGCCAATGAAGCTAGTTTGGATTAACCACCGAAAAATGTTACCGTTTTTAGTTCACATCACAAACTAACCGAAATTATTGGACAACTACCAAAAACCAGTACAGGCAAATGTTTCGTAATAAATGATCAAGTTAGTAATTTTTACGAAATAATGAGTTCTTTTTATATAATATGCAAAAAGTTTGCATAACTTGAATCCATTTCAATCAATATATTTCTGTTTGTGAGAAAATATCATAGAACACCACGATGATAATGAAAATATTCCAAAACACCCACATGTAATCTCAATTGTATGTGTGTGTGCGTATATATTAGTTAGTGTTATTGTTGCGGACGTTATATCCCCAGAACTCGCTTGATAAATGCTTTATTTTGGATGATCAGTTGACCTTGAGATTTCATTTTCAACCAGAAAAATCCTTGGTTGCGATTGGTTGATGTGTTATTTTAGTGTGCTGTTTTTGTGACTGTTCCAAGGACGTTTCAATGATGTACAAAATAAACGAGATTTGTGTGCTTGATTGTATTGTGATTGCTGAGTGTTTGTAGTATATATTTTCTACGCTTATCAAGACTTCTCTTTTGCAGTTTTGGGATCAAGGTAGCCTACCTGGACGCTGGTTCATTGTCTCGTTCACGTTTATCCACTAAGGTGAACCCGTAATGGCTTCAAGCGTACCTAGTGACGAACCTAACAGTTATGTTATTAGAGATATATGTGTGAATTAATGTCAGTTTACCAAAATTGGAATTTATATCTGAAAAAGCATTATAATTCAAATTATTCCCTCAGTTGTATTGAATAGTGTAACAGCATACAGATTAACATTCAACAATCGTGAAAAACTTCTATACAGTGATAATTATCGTATGTGCACGCTAGTCACTGATTTCTGCAGATATTTCTGGAATTCTAGTGAGAAGCTGTGACTAAGAAAGTTCAACATTGATGCCAATAAGGCAGTCAGTTTCCTTCATAGAAAACAATGGAGGCTAGTCAATTAATATTACCAACTGATTTAAGCCAGATACATGCATACATCATTGGATCTCGGATTATTGGTTTACAAGTTAAGCGTTTGCAAGCAAGATTGAAAGTATTGAGTTTGATCACTGCTAATGGATTCATGGGTGTTCACAGATATAGGATCCTATACCAGGACGAAACATCTGCTTACAGCTTTCTGGTTTCTAATAACTGTCGAATTTACCTCAATTGGTAACGTCAATAACACTAACCAGTATCTGCTAATTTCAGTGGAAAAACGTAGGATAGTGAATTCGTTCATTCTCAAGTTCATGTCAAACAACTCAGCAACATCTTGGCTTTTACCAAACTGAAGGCGAGATTTCCATGTATGAATTAAAGACATGGTACTCGTCATAGTTTCTCCATGGTTATGAAACACGCTCTACCAAAACAGAAGACATCTATAAGTTGAACTGTTCCAATTACAGGTATCCTTGAAAAATGGTTCCAGTATCGGGGAACGACTAAGTGAATAAGCCTGATTATCAGGCATAGGTTAATAGGGAAAAAGGACAAATCAGTTGATGAGGTAGTGAAGTCTTGCTAACTAAGGTGGTTGTGAAATGTGTGACATATGCCTAGCCACTGACTATATTTACGTTCTGTTTTGGTTGTTGTATGAGTAAGTTATAAGAGATCAATTTGCAACTAAACAAAGGCCCAATATTAAGTCATAAAATAACTGATCATCGATCTCAGTCAAGTTTACAGGGGCATAATACCCGTATATGGCTCATGTGACAACTGTGATGAATGACAAGGGGCGTTGAATGATCTTGATACATACCTCTCCGTTCCGTCTTCCTGAACTACACTCTTATTTTGTTATCATTACTATTAACAATCATTTCGAATCCTTTGCGAAACATCTCACTAATATCATCTAGCAGTTTTTTTTTGTGCATCAGACAACTTGAGTTAACCGACGTTTGTCCCAGGCTCAGTGATGATTTTGACTGACTGAAACAGGCTTTCTTTTAAACAAAAACACCAAATCAATTGTTAATAATAATCAACAACAAAGGAAGTTACCGATTTGCCTAAAAGATCCGATGCAGCAATACTCATTCGTTTAGCTAAACCAGTAACAGGATATCGATGTTTCACATTTGCCAATACTTTCGTTTCCTAAACATAATATATGAGAAAATTATTAGGAGATGAATGACTAGGTTAGTAGAAATCAACATATTAAGTCGATCATTAGTGAGATAGAATCAATTATAACAACTTGAGTTTTTGCGCAAAATTCAAAAGATAACAACTGGCTTTCATCTTACAGAAGTAATACTGTAGTGAAGGAGAACACAGGTGGGGCAACTAGAGTTACTTAGTAAAATAGGAAAACCATATCGTAAATCGTTCATTTGCAAATTATCAGTTCATCATATCGAACTGGACTGTTCCTGTTGCAAAACATCAATCCATTGTCACTACTATTCATGTGTTACATACAAATTCCATTGTGTTCCCACTCTTCCTTTCTCTTGATCTTCCCCCATCTTCTGCTGCCAGACATTACGTTGACACTCACGTCATATACTACTTATAAGTAGCTCGCACCACACTACGAGTATCATAATGTATCAATCAAAAGAAATGATTTGTAATCAGTAATGAATGTGTGGTCAATTCAGTTTGTTGCACATGTAATTGTTATTGGTCTATATGATCCATCTATAACTTGTATAAAGTATTCGTAAAGTAACCTGTACCGTAAAGATCGAGGCTAAATGTTGAGGATGTTAGATCCTCAAAACTCGCTTGATAAATGCCTTATTTTGGATTTCACGTTTGCCAGTATGGGCTGATCAGTTGACTTTGAGATTTCATTTCTCACCAGAAAAATCCATGGCTGTGATAGGCTGCTGTGTATTTTAGTGTGCTATTTTCGTAACTGTCCCAAGGACCTTTCTATGACGCATAAATAAACGAGATTTGTGTGCTTGATTGTATTGTGATTACTGGGTGTTTGTAGAATATACTTTCTACGCTTACAAAGTGTTCTGTTTTGCAGTTTGGGATTCAAGGTAGCCTACCTGGACTCTGGTTCATTGTCTCGTTCGCGTTCATTGACTAAGATGAACTTGTAATATCTTCAAGCGTACCTAGTGACGAACATATCACTAACAATACAACTTATGACAGGTTTTAAGTGATCTTTAAGTGACCATTTTAATGCAGACTGATAAAGAGATCTAGACAAGTCAAGCATTGAACTGAAATAGATAATTCAAGTTTTGGTACTTTGAACAAAGCATCTAACAATCTCACATGTAGAAGAAACAAGCCGATAATTTTCAGGCTTTCTCAATACAATGATCGATTTAAACTATGCAGATTGAATTCAATAGTTTAAAATGTCCGATTTCAAATCAAAAACTGTTCTGTAAAGCAAGCAAATCAACAAACTTACATCAGAAACTAGTCATAAACTGATACAAGTGTGTCCAGCACTATATTCTTGCATATTCCATTACTCATTAACACAAAATTCAGTGGAATAAATTATATTTCATCCATACCAATATCATCTTACATCATATGAAAGTCAAACACCTGAACTGATCAATAAAAGTAATGCTTATACATGCTTAAATCTACACTAGTAAATAATTAGTACAACTCGATATTAATATATTCATGTTTTTTTAAAAATACTTTATATAACATATTTAGACTACAAGGTTGAAATAAGCATTGTGGTGGTGTTTCATTCTCTGAACTGGATGTTTTGGTTGTGGAGCTTTCATTGTTCTCCTGTTGAACAGCATCATCGGCACAAACTTCAGATAGAAGAAGTGAAGTATTCGAATTTCTCCACGTTTGTTCTGCTAACCAATCAAGCAAGGTCAATCAATCAATCCAGCTCAGAGAACGAAGCAGCACCACAATCATCCGCCTGAGCTACAAAAAATTTTCCCTACCGTCTGAAATGTGTATATCAACCTATTGGAAATAATGATGAAGCATTTATAGTGGACGCAGCATTCTATTTCTAATACAGTTGTACATACCAATACACACAGTTAAGGCGTCCCAGCATTAGAATGAAACATGTGTTCAGTGATTTATACTTTTTACTAACTAATACTTAAACTCAGGTTAGGTCATAACGATCACTAATTACAAATTCATCAAATTGTATCGATTAGAAATGGATCTAGAAAACTGATATTATTTAATTAGAGACAATTGAATAAGTGAGTTCTTCTCATCGGTTAAGTTGCTCGTTCTTATTACATTAGTTTAGATACAACAGTGTTTAACATATATATATATATATATATATATATATATATATATATATATATATATATATATATATATGCGGCTAGACAAAAACATGGCACAAATCCATGAAGTCGCTGACAAGTGGACTGAGTCATGTTGGTAAATGTAGGCTACCTGGTTGGGATCCGCGAGATGAAAGTCACCAATGGTTAGAGACCTTGAACGACATGGCTCAAAATCGTTTGCAATGGAGCAAGTGCACCAACTCTTTGTGTTTTCTCAAATCCTAATCTTCTGGATTCGTCAACACCTCTACCTTTGTCTTCCTAACCTTGTCTCACTGAATTATTATACTTCTCGAATAATATCTTCAAACCCTAGTCTTCTTCATTACCATTAATACCTCTACTATCTTTATCACTATGGGATTGGATTCGATATTTGAGTCTCTGTGGTAATGTGGTATGGCAACATGAACTGATGTACTTACTTACGAGGTTCTACGTTGCAACTGACTGATTTATATATATATTACGGGGTTATGAAGATTGTTAAGTTACACATTTTCAAACCATGAATAAATCAATGTTAGACCACCATTAGAAACTTGGAAGCACTGGAAGGTCATTTCGTCCTGGTATGGGAACCCATAAGCAGTGAACATCCACGACTCCTGCACCCCGCAGGATTCGAACCCAGGACCTTCGGTCTAGTGCGCGAACGCTTAACCCCTGAGCCACTGAGCCGGTGGCATCTAACGATGTTTGAGCGCCAATTTTAATTTTGTATTTTCTTAAAAGATTAAAAAACGACCACAATAATTATGCAGATAGAAAACATGTTATCTTCTTTCTACAACATAGTTTAGCGCCGGAACATTTACATTTACATTAGATGAAGCACAGTAGTAGTTCGAGAAAGAATGAAAATCACCAATTTATCGATTCAACAACCATAATCACAACAATCACTTCCTGTTACACACACACACACCCCTACACACAGACAATTTGACCTGAAATTTACTCATCTCACGTGTAAATCACCACCACCAATTATGACATTAATGATTATTTCAGTTCAGTTTTTAATTCAGACACAAATATTGAGAGAAGCTTTGTAGAAATGAGCAAAATTTTGGTGTAGTTGATAGAAATACGGACATATACAGTTAGTGAGTGACACATGAACAACAAAAAATAAACACTGTAAATTAATCAATACACCTTTTCATAAAATACCGTTATGTATTATTATTAGTACAATATATCTTCTAATCAGTGAATAACAACAGTCATAAGATTTAGAGTTTGTTTTAGTCAAGTGTACAAATCAGATTTGTCGTGAATTTAATTCACTCTTAATTTATATTTAAGAAAAACAAACTGTTTTATCCGGTTATGTATTTATCATATCATAGATTTGTAAAAAATTGTATTCATTCAGAGATTGATCTCATTCAGCGTATGATTGAAAATCATGATAGACAGAAAGACAGACAGATACAATGCAGAACTTCGTATGTGTAAGTACATCAGTTCAGGTTGCCATACCACATTAGCACAGAGACGTAACTGTCAGTTCAAATCCGTGAGTAACAGCGATAGTAGAAGTATTAACAGTAATGGAGAAGATTAGGGAGCGAAGATATGATTCGAGAAGTATGATTCAGTGAGATAACTCTCGGACAAGAAAGATAGAGATGATGAGGAATTCAGAAGGTTAGAATTGGAGAGAACACGAAGAGTGGATGCACCCGCACCATTGCAAACGGTTTTGAACCATGTCGTTCAAGGTCTCTAACCATCGGTGACTTGCGGACCCCAACCAGGTAGTCTACATCTACCAACATGACTCAGTCCACTTGTCAGTGACTTCATGGATTTCTGCCATGTTTTGGTTTGGCCGCCCCTACCTTTCTTCCAACCTACTCCAACACCACAAAACATAGCTCGTCGAACCAGTCGGTGGTTAGGCATACATAACAGATGTCCCAACCACCTCAACTGATGAAGATTCACTACTTCATCTATTGATCTGCCATCCTTACCTAGTACTCGTTTCCTAACGACAGCATTGCTTACTCGGTTGTCCCACGGTATACGAGCAATGCTTCTTAAACATCTATGATCGAATACTAGTAACCCACGAACATCTTCTACTCTTAATGGCCATGTTTCACAGCGATAAAGTAAGACGGAGCGAACTGCTTCGCAGTACACCGGTCCTTTGGTCAGCGAACGGATATCTCGCCTGATTGAAAATCATGAATCATCGTAGTCAGTTAGTTAGTCAGTTGTAATATACAACTTGGCAGGTATGTATATCATTTCAGATTGCCATACCGCATTAAACACAGAGTAATTAAATTGTCACGCCAAATTCCAGAGTTATAGTGGTAATAGCTGTATTATTAGCTAGATTGGTAGTCGAAAAGATTATGGATGGAAGATAAGATTCGAGAGAATATAAAACAGTGAATAAAATTTTAAAAGAAAACTTCATGAGAAATTCTGAAGTTTAGTATTTGAGGGCATTAACCAACTTCATCACTGATCTAAATCAGTGATGGAAATTCGATTTCAGTCAATTAGAGATTCTGTGAAACAAAAATCTCATGATACTAGTGACCAATGTTTCACTTCCAATATGTTTGAAATCCATCGGTCATGAGTTCGTGGTAGAATTTGGAGAAACATTTTGAATAGGTTACCAGCATCATAAGCAGAGATAGACGATAGCTAATACTTGAATCAGCGAGGCGTATTTCGCCTTATTTAGGACTCGTCAACGTTATCTCCTCATTCAAAGATATTACAATTGGATAGCAAATATCACTGTGTATTTGTTGTGAGGCAGTCATTGGTCGTTTTCAAGAAACCGTGATTCTAGGTTTTGAGCTGATTGGCACTTATTAGCAAGGTGTTTCCATCAAACTTGAAGAGACTAAATTCCAATTTGGGGTTACGAGACGCGGCACCTTGTTCTATTATATGAGGCGTTAACGTTATGATTTTTGAGTAGTGACTGAAGTATATTTAGGTAGTAACCGATGCAAAAGTTCAGTGGTGACGTTTCACTCTATGAAATTTGGTCATACAGTTTCGAATTCTAAAGCGAACATCAGTTCCCTCAGGTTGCGTGCCTGCCTAGCTGACGAGTAGCAATTATAGTATAATATCAACGTCCAAAGTTTCCTAGCAACCACCGAAATTCAAAAATATATTGCTCACAATATCGGGTCACTTGAATTAGAAATCATATTTTTACATCATATCGATGTAAGTCAACTAGCCATTTGACAATCGTTTCCAGTCAAAATTCGCAAACTGAGCGAAAAAACACTAATTTGCTGATATGATTAATAAGTGGCATCAGTACACGTATCTGGAACTCCAAACAACTTTCAATCAACACCAAAATCAGGATTTTCAATATAAACGTCAACACAGTTAAACTGTACGGAGTGGAAACTTGGAGAACTACCAAAGCCATTATCTAGAAGATACAAGTGTTTATTAACAGTTTTATACCCAAAATACTTCGGATTCGTTGGCCAGACACCATCAGCAACAATGTACTGTGGGAGAGAACAAACCGGATTCCAATTAAAGAGGAAATCAGGAAGAAGCGGTAGAAGTGGATAGGACACACACACTACGAAAACCACCCAACTGCGTCACAAGACAAGCCCTCACTTGGAACCCTCAAGGTCAAAGGAGAAGAGGAAGGTCAAGGAACACATTATGCCGAGAAATCGAGAAAAATATAAGAAGGATGAACAAACATTGGACAGAGCTGGAAAGGGAAGCCCAGGACAGAGTTGGTTGGAGAAAACTGGTCGGTGGCCTATACTCCATTGTGGGTAACAGGCGTAAGTAAGTAAGTAATCAGTACACATATAATGCATAGATTTTTCACCAAAAAAAGCAATTATATATAACTTTTCTGTAACTGTTCATTTCAATGACTTAACATACTTTAATACATGTGAATGAGCTCAATAAAAAGAATGATATTCATCTTTGTTAGATTTATCGTAATCGATCATTTTTACTTGACTTAACGCTACAGAGATGATCTTAAGTTAGATTAATCATAAAAGATTCCATAAAAGTGTTTAATTATATGCATACTAACCTTGTGGTGATGAAGAAAATTCACTGTAGAATTTTAAGGCCACAGAAATGTGACTCAGCCCTAGTTAAACAATAAATCAAACTGAGCCGTTTCTACGTGAGGGGGGCAGAGCAATGAATTTTCAAACAGCTTAACGAGTATTCTTAGGATTGAAGGACAAGTAACAAGGATTAACTAGTTACAGCCATATAGACGCTTATGCAGTCATGGTTCCACCACTCTTTACTTTCATAATCTGTTGTTATAAATACAAGTTTAAATAAGATTATATTTGATTTCTACAGTCACTACGAAAGTCGATTCACCCGATTATAAGGATAGGATGAGACGGGTTGAACATCAATCGCGAGATGTAAACCTGGTGTACAGCAGGTCACATCATTTCCGTTCAAATTGAATAGATTCATCAAAATATACAGATGCTTTTGGTGGTTTCATATGCTTCTAGTTGAATGTGAAATCTCTATTGACATTATTTATACTCAACGAATTCATCAACTCCTGTTTTAAATTGAATTAACGCTTCTTAAAAAAGTTTCCTCATAAGCAGCAACAATCTATGTAGAGCAAAAATATGACGGTGAAGGGAAACAAATCCAACATCGCTTTCTAAATAAACCGTACTAACTGTAAAAAGTACTACATCAAACAAAGTGAACACCCTCTTCTCTTACAAAAACACCACATAAGTTATGCAGTCACACAATATAATCTCATTATTTATGACATCATAACCAGTCAGTCGGCTACAACGTAGAACTTCGTACGTTCAAGTTACCATACCACATTAGCACAGAGAAGCAATTGTCAATTCAAATCCCATAGTAGTTAAGGGAGTAGAGGTAATAGCAGTAATCGGAGAGATCAGGGTTTGAGGATATCATTTAAGAAGTAGAATCTAGTGAAATAAACCTAAACGGAAAAGGATAAAGATGATGAAGAATTCAGCAGGTCAGGATTTGAGAGAGCACAAAGAATGTATGCATTGCGCCATTACAAACGGTTTTGAGCTGTGTCATTCAAGATCTCTAAACATCGATTACTATCACTTCGCGGGCCCCAACCAGGTAGTCCACACCTACCAACGTGGCTCAGTCTACTTCTCAGTGACTTCATGGATTTGTGCCATCTTTTGGTCTGGTCGCCCCTAGCTTTCTTCCAATCTACTGCTACATCATAAAACATAGCTCGTCGGGGCAGTTGGTGGTTAGCCATACGTAACACATGTCCCAACCACTTCAACTGATGAAGCTCCAATACTTCATTTATTGGTCTGCCATTCTCACTTAGTACCTGTTTCCTAGCAACAGCGTTGCTTACTTGATTGTCCTCGGATATACGAGCAATGCTTCGAAGACACCTATGATCGAATACTAGCAACCTACGAAAATTCTCTACTGTTACTGGTCATGTTTCAGAGCCATAAAGTAGGCTGCGACAGACAACTATAAGTACGAAGTTGACATGGAATATAACGAATCCCAAGGAATGATAGAATTTCTGGAGCATGATATTCATGTCAGCTAACAGTCATCAGACAAATCAAGATCGATATAATCAATCTATCCACTCATTTATCAAAGAAGGTTAGATCAGTCAGTCAAACACATGATTGGAGGTGAGTCTAACAAAACAATAAGAGGGGAGCAAAAAATCTCAAGAAGAAAACCAACCTAAAAAGGCCATCAGAATGAATATATTCAACTCATAAATTAATAATTAAATTTGAATACAATGTGAATGCAATATCTGGCATTTTCGAGCTTTCGTCTTTAATCTGACTGTTATAAATTGCTAATAAGAGTATAATTCTCACTAGGGATCTCATTTTCTATGGACACATGAGGGTGACGCATCCTAGTGCATTGCATGAAAAAAATCAAGGTGAAATCTATGGCTTGTATGTAGCTTTCACCTGCCACATGAAATAGAAAATGCCCAAAAATGCTTGATACTGCATAAATATTGAATAATCGAAAGGCGAATACATTAACTCGCGCTCTTAAAGTAAAAGAATGAAGTCTTCACAGTCGAATCATATATATCTGGTCTTTGCATTCAAATATATTATTCAAATGAGTGCAGCAATAATGAATATAGTTTATATGGATAGTGTTTATTATTTTCCTAACAATATTCGTCACAGATTTATCTCACTCAAAGTACTATTGAAAACTAGAGCACAATGGATAGGTGATTCGTCTTAATAAATACACACAGCATCTTAGCTTTAAACAACCCGTAAGCTACCAGGGTTCGAGCCGATGACCTTCATGTTGTGAGTATTCATTGTCGAAGAATTTCATAATAGTGTGGTGCGCGCTACTTATAAGTAGTATATGACGCGAGTGTAAATGTAATGTCTGGCAGCAGAAGATGGGGGAAGATCAAGAAAGGAAGAGTGGGAACACAATGGAATTTGTATGAAACGCATGAATAGTGAACTGTTGTCAGACAATGGATTGAAGATTTGCAAATGAACGATTTACGATATGGTTTTCCTATTTTACTGAGTAACTCTGTCATATGTATATATATAAATTTACACAAACACTAACTTACCACAATCTCATCATCACGCATATTTACATGTTCTTTCACAGTGTGTAATACATGTGGATTTCTTGGTGGTCTAGGCGGTGGTTTATCTTCACTAGGTACATACTTCATTGGTGAAGTTTTATTTCTAAGTATATTTCCATTAGAGTACTTTACATTTTCCTCTTTTGAATGAATCATTGGTAAATTTCTGCTCAAATGATTATTGTTGATTGGTTGAAATACTGAATTCCTTGATGGCTTGACATTGAATTGATTGTTAACAGATTGATCAATATTAGAATAATCAGGAGCTAAATTTCGAAATAGAAAACAAAAAAAACAGAACAATATACTCAGTATTGGATTAAGTGTTGTCGTTGCTGTTCATTTTAAATAATTTACATCACATAATGATCGTGACTAATCAATCAAGAAGTCGTGGATGCGCATTGCTGATGAGTAGTCCCATACCAGGACGAAACGGCCGTCTTTCATTGCTTCCAGGTTTCTAATGGTGGTCTAACACATTGATCGATTCATGGTTTCAAAAAATGTGTAACTTAACAATCTTCACAACCCGGTAATGCAATCAATAAAAGTCAGAACACTGAAATCTACTAAAGTGTTTGATTGATACTCATTAAATTCATGCAAGAACACTACTCATGAATTGGCCAGTTGATTAAATATGCTTTATATGTACACGTAAAATGATAAGCATGAAATCAGGTAGCTCAAACTGGCCTTAAAATGAAGCCTTTGTCAAAATTCACAAATAATCTATAAAAAAAATAGTTTTTAAGGTAAAAAAAAGTTTTATTTGTAACCATGAGTCGATCAATGCTAGACCACCATTAGAAACCCGGAAGCACTGGACGGTCGTTTCGTCCTAGTATGGGACTCATCAACATTGATCGATTCATGGTTACAAATAAAACTTAACAATCTTCACAACAACCCCGCAATGCAATTACATGTGTCCACTAGTGACTAGCGTGGTGAGGAATCTTCTCCGAGTTCTAGTGGGAAGTCATGACCAGTGAAGTTCAAACCTGTTCGGATGTATACAGGGTATGAGGTTGCGCAACTCTGTGAATTTGATCAAGTTAGACATTAACACCGTTAGAAACCGGCTCAGTGGTCTGACGGTTAGGACGTTCGCGCACAATACCGAAGGTCCTAGGTTCGAATCCGGCGGAGTGCAGGAGTAGTGGATGCGCTCTGCTGATGAGTAGTCCCACACCAGGACGGCCGTCCAGTGCTTCCAGGTTTCTGATGGTGGTCGAACATTGATCGATTCATGGTTACAAATAAAACTTAACAATCTTCACAACAACCCCGCAATAAAAAAGAAGTGACCTACTTAGATGATCCAATCTCCTTTCTTCATTTAATCCCTATTTCAAATAAAAATAAAGCATATTATTGAATAATGAAAACTAAAATGTATCAATTAAATAGGTTCATAGTTGACCAATGACTTATATTTGTCGTGACTACTGATATATATATATATATACATTTTTATATATATATATATACATATATTCAGTCAGTCGCAACGTAGAACTTCGTACGTAAATACATCAGTTCATGTCGCCATATCACATCAGCACAGAGATGTAGTTGTCAATTCAAATCCAATAGTAGAAGAGGTAGTAAAGGTATTAGAAGTAATCGAAGAGGCTAGGATTAGAAGATATTCAAAAAATATGATTCAGTGAGAAAAGATTAGAAAGTCGAAACTAGAGGTGTTGAAGAATCCAGAAGATTAGGATTTGAGAGAACACAAAGAATAAATGCACTGGCGCCATTGCAAACGGTTTTCTGCCATGTCATTCAAGGTCTCTAACCATCGATTATTATCATCTCGCGGACCCCAACCAGGTAGTCGACAACTACCGACATGACTCAGTTCACTCGTCAATGACTTCATGGATTTCTGTCATCTTTTGGTTTGGCCAACCCTAGCTTTTATTCCAACCTATTCCTACACTACAAAACAAGGCTCGTCGAGGCAGTTGGTGGCTAGGCATACGCAACACATGTCCCATCCACCTCAACTGATGAAGTTTCATTACTTCATCTACTGATCTGCCATTCTTACCTAGCACCTGATTCCTAATAACAGCGTTGCTCACTCGGGTGTCCCACGATATACGAGCAATGCTTTGAAGACACCGATGATCGAAAACCAGTAACCTACGAATATCTTCTACTCTTAACGACCATGTTTCACAGCCATAAAGTTAAACAGAGCGAACTGCTGCGCAGTACACTCGTCCCTTAGTCAGCAAACGGATATCCCGTCTACGCCATAAGTGACGCAGGTTGGCAAAAGCCAATCGAGCATTCTATATCCGAGCTGAGATTTCGTCAGTCACCAGGCCATCAGCACTGATGAGACTCTCCAGATAAGTGAAGCGGTCTACACGTTCGACTACTTCACTCCCTATCAGTATTTCAGGTGCCGATGCAACCCAGTCTTGAAACAACATTTTGCATTTCGAGGGGGAAAACCGCATCCCGAACATGCTTTCATTGTTGCTTATATATATATTAGACAGGTACAGTCTTATCGATTCATTTGAAAATCATGCATTTTGAATGAGAATTAACTAATACTTGTATCAAAATAGTATTAAGTGGAATTGGGACCTGCAATCTACTGGTTTAGAAATAAATAATTTAAGCATTTTTTCATATATCTTACAGTTAATTGAATGTAGTTCCTCATTCATTCATTTGCGGTATGCATCAGTAAATTAAGCTGATGTATGCAAAAAAGTTCTTATTTGTTTAGTGATATGATTCAGGTTATTTATTTACATGCAATCGTTCAGTGATCATCTGTTTCATCTATACCACTTCTTCTTTAACAATAAGTGTTACATGTTAGGGATTGCTTTGTGATGCAATCGGGTGTTTTCCTCAATGTATGTCCTATCCACTCCAAGCGCTTCTTCCTGTTATTTTCCTTCACTGGAATCTGATCTGTTCTTTCCTATAGTACGTTGTTGCTGATAGTGTTTGACCAACGGGTTTGAAGTATTTAGTGTAGACAACTGGTAATGAACACTTGTATCTTCTGGATAATGGCTTTCGTAGCTCTACAAGTTTCCGCCTGATACACTAGAACTGTCTTTACATTTGTATTGAATATTCTGATTTTGGTGTTGATTGATAGATGTTTTCAGTTCCAGATGTTAATCAATTGTAGAAATGGTGTCCTTGCTTTGCTTATCCGCGCCTTCACATCTGCATCAGAACTACGCTGCTCGTCAATGACGCTACCCAGGTATGTAAAAGTTTTTACATCTTCCAAGGCATCTCCATCAAGAGTGATTTGGTTGGTGCATGTTGTGTTGTATTGAAGAAGCTTGCTTTTTTTCATTTGTATGTTTAGATCTACTGTTGCTGAGGCTTCAACTACACTGATCTTCTGCTGTATTTGTTGTTGCGTGTGCGATAGAAGAGCCCGATCGCCTGGTTTCTCGTAGTCAATGAAGTTGATGTAGAGTGGTGAGTTCCATTCAATTGATTGTTCCACAATGATACCCAATGTTGCTATTTGGTCGGTACACGATCGATCCTTACCAAATCCAGCCTGTTGATCTCGAAGTTGGTCGTCTATGAAGTAGTCAGAGTACAGTGAGTCGTCTGAAGTTCCCACACTTAATAAGATCTTTCTTCTTTGGTGCCTAGATGAGATATCCTTTTTTCTAGTATGTTGGTACTTGTTCTTCCTCCGAAATCTCTCTGAAGAGAGTATCTCAGCAGTTACCTCTACATCTACTTTCAGTGCCTCAGCTGAAACGTCGTCTACTCCCGCTACTTTGTCATTCTTCATTTGGGTGATGGCCATGCTGATCTCTTCAATTGTTAGTAGGCCAACATTGATTTGGAGGTCCGTGGATGAGACTTCGATGTTGTGTGGGTTCAGTGGAGCTGGTCGATCCAATATTTCCTTAAAGTGCTCTACCCATCTGTTTCGCTGTTCTTCAGTGTTGTCGATTACTTTGCCTTCCTTGCTTTTCACTGGTCGTTCTGGTACATGATAGATTCCAGCGAGCTTCGTTGTCGAATCATGCGATTGTCTCATATTCTCTTTTCTTGCAGCCTTTTCCGTTGTCATTGTTAGATCTTCAACATATTTGCGTTCGCCGACTCTGATGCTCCTCTCCACTTGCTTCTTTGCTTCTATGTCTTCACTTTGCACTTTGCGTGTCTCTGCTCTTTTTCGGCTGAACTGCTGCCTTCTTGAATTTTTTCAAGAGTACCAAGAGAGATACATTCCTTGTGATGATACTTCTTACGGCACAGGATCACCTGGCATGTTGAAGTGATTGCTTCCGTGATTCCAATTCAATAGTTCTCCATGGTATTTTCCTCTCCATTGAATAGATCTTGAAAAGGCTAGAATTCGTTGTGTTTGCCAATATCCCAAAAGAAAGCCATATTTAACTTTCGTGATGTTGTTAGCTCCGTTGTTCATTGTTTCTTAAGTTTTATTTTCATCTTGGTTCTCACATTCTCCATCGTCCTTCTGAACTTTCTACTGATGCAGATCCAGATTAAGATCTAGAGATTAAACCTTTAGCAGGGAGTCGTTTATCCCGAAACTAAATCATAACATCACAGCAACTTTCTACTCAGTACGTAGTTTTAGTAGGGTGAATAATTATCACACAATGACTAGTACGTAATAGCAACAGTGTGTGCTAACCAACTCGATGTTTTTCCTCAAAAATCTGACTTATTAATTGAAAATTACTGTTTCATAAGTGAAAACATTTATGATATAGGTCAATGATTCCAAGTATTTTAATAATAATAGTAGGGAACAAAATGATATCTCGAACAATGTGCATGCCTGCAAATGCCTTGTTGCGGCCGAAAGATACGAGACTCCCACACTCCCTCTCATTATCCTCCCATGAAGCTAGGTATTCATAGCCACTACAAGCCAAGTCCTGCTCACTGCCCTCTCACTGCATACGGGTTGTTTAAAAAATCGAGAGGACGAAAAGCGAATTTCCGGAGGTTTAAATGGGATGTTTGGTATAGAAGATTTGCCTAGGAAGATTGATGGACCCTGATTTCAAACTAATGGGGCATATGAGCTCCTGAATCTTTATGGAACAAATGGCGTATGAACCTATTGTTGATTAACAGCTATCACGTGACTGAATCTCCTGACGTCGCTCCACTGCATTTAGGCACCCCTCTGTACCAATAATTACGTTTAAGCAAATAAAACAAATATATTAAATATGGGTATGTTAGAAGTGGAAATCAACCTTTGTAATCAAAATTGCTGGCTTTGAAATAATCAGAGGCGAAATAATGTAGGTGTAATATATTATATTAGGACTTATTTATGGCTAAACACAGAAAACTGGATTCACAAACATCAGTTAACATAATTTGTCGTCGCAAGCGAATACTGACTTTGAAATACATCTTTCTATCTGAAAATTGTCCAAAAGTAATACAGACACTTGTTATTAAGAGACATTAAAATCTATTAGTCATAAATTTCTTCTGGACAGGGTATTATACTGGTATCACAGTTCAAAAATTTATGGCATAGGCAATAACAATTAACAGTTTATCTACAATAGAGAGGTAACTCTGCGGTTACAAGCACTCGACCTTCAGCCATTAAATAACAGGTTCAATTTATGCCCTACCTACATCGGACTGTGGACCTGGGTATAGTTGGTCCTAACATTTGGAGTACGCTTAATATTCAAACACCAAAGCTTGATAAGAAGTTCCTCCAATTAAAATAATATACTTTATTCGAAAATCAATATTTTAACAAAACCAGTTGACTGTTATTACATAGGACAAAATTGCCGATGAATCTTATTGTTTCCCCTATTACTCGCAAATCGTATCCTTCTTCGATAGATATCGAGCACCAGAACTTTTCCAGTAAAGGAAAGCAATATGATACGACAAGCTCAACATTTACTATTTTATTTATTCCTAAAATTTCATTGCCGTGTGAATTTATACCAGGAAGTGATATTACCATAAATCCAAAATGGAAAATAAACCGTTCTAACTAAAACAAACTCATATGATGTGTTTTCTGCTAACTTATGAAGAAAAATAAACTAACTTTGGAGGTAGGGGTTTTTTGTTCAATTAAAGTGGTCAAAGGTTGATCAGCAGGAAAAAAACGGCGTTCCATATTATTTCCGACCGTCTGTGATTTAAAACTTAAGTTTTGCGAATAATAAGATGCTAAAAATACTTTTGAGATGCTTTGTAAACTGAAGTCAGCCAGTTTTGAAAAGTTTTCTCTGTTTCTGGTCTTAAATGATACGTAGCTCCGTTGTGTTCTGTGATCTAAAGAAATTTATAAAAAAATGTGGCCTTACCGTTATCCATGGTGTATCATCCTGATATGATACAGCAACATCAGAGTGACTAAGGAGGATTTTTAGGCAGCTCTTACGGTTAATGTGATCTACAAATATAAAAGATCGTCTTGTATTTACTTGGGAAGATGAAGAGACTATCGTTTTT